CTTTAATACAAACGATTGTACTTTGACGGATGATTACGTTTTGGGTTTGCCAGGTTTCTTGGGACTTGAAGCATCACATTTTGTTCATTGGGGCACTTGTGGTCTAGACAGATTAAAAATAATGAGAGAAAAGAGGCAACAGTAATGAAACTATCTTGCTTGCGCATGAGAAAAGATATGCCTATTTATACAAGTATAATATCGCGAGCATAAAAATACAGCTCAGAAGGGCACTTGTAAGTGTGTTTGTGCAAGCTGAAGCAGTTCTTGCGCGCCAAGCCAAAGTAATAATAACTAGTTGAGTGGCAGCTTCTAAAATTCCATTTCATGGCTCTTTTAGCATTCGGTTTCAGAGCATGAGGATTGGGGATTAGGCTGGGAGGAGAGGAGGGAAGGTTATGGACTGCAATCTTGCTGCCAGCAAGCACCAACTAGCACGTTCTGTTGTTTCTTCGTACCTCTCTTTCAGCATTGATATTTTCTGCACATTAGATGTGGGGTCACGGTTGGAGTGGTGGTCGGGGAAGGACGCCGCCGATATTGTTTTGCCGATGTAGCAATAGAGTGGCAATACATTGCAGTGCATGAACTGTAAACGAATGGGGGGCCCCGATTGTTGATTTTGGCAAAGCACGGTATGGTAAAGGAATTGGCAGGAGACTTCAGGTTCATTTACTGCAGGTTCTTATTCGTGATTTTTATTTATTTATTTACTTGCTTGGTTTTTTCCAAGGTTTTTCCATTATTCCGCATAGTCCTTTGAACAGAAATGTAGCTAAACATAAAATGAACGTTTAGAAAAGAACACAGGAGTTACACGCGCAGCATTACAATTGGAAGCTGTTTCTATTTTAATCTAAGCTGACTGAAACGATTCTCAGGTTTTTGATTAATGTGTCTCAAATGTGCTTAGATTTTGGCTTTGCAGCAAAAATGTCACTACAGTACAGTGGAATATACAATATTTTTGTATAGTGTTTCAGAGTGATCTATGAATATATGGCAACGTATACATTACCCTGCCTTAGTATTAAAGGGGCAATCATTCATGAATATTTTATGTTCTTTAGGCAGCATTAATATTTTCTCCAGTATCATATTACTGTTCTTATGGAAAAGCAATCACAGCATCGATGACATTGTTGATTATGTTCAGTCAGTTTCATCAATTATGTATACACATTTTATAAACAGGCACTGCACATACATATTATTAGGAGTAAACCCCATTTTTTATGGGTCGGGCTTAACGTAACCATACCTTGTGTGTGGGCCTTTTTATACAAATCTGTTCTTATTTTCCCTTTGTCTCCTGAATCATGCCAAGATAAACGCTGTTCTATTAATACCTCTACCAGGGTATGAAATGATATGCTCAGTATAAATTTTACAATGAGCCATAGGACATGGCTCTGTTGTTTTTAGGGCACGGCTGCGCAGGTGTCGGATGTTTTGGATAGTTCCATGTTTGTGATAATTTTCTCAGAGTGAATGCCACAGGGCTGGCATTTCAAAGGCTCACGGTGGGCTAACGCACGTTTCCTGGTTTATTCCTGCTAGAAAATTATTACGTACCCCGAGGAAATGGTTCTCAACGCACTGTAATATTTCACGAGCCGCTCGTGACAAGTTGAGGACGAGGCGTTTGGGCCGCGTTGTTGTCGTGGCGGTGCTACGCAGAAGCAAACCAAGAAAAGTGTAGTGCCCCAAAGCAAATTAAGGCGCACGGGATTAATAAATATTTCGGGATTAATAAATATTTCGGGATTAATACATTTCTCGGGCCGCACCAAATATGGGCTCGATCTCAGATTTTTATGAAATAATAATACTTTTAATAATCTCACGTAACTGCGATGCAAGTGAGTCGGCATCAGAATCGTTACGTAGACCGGAGAAATCCGATGAGCTATGATCTCCATTGGAGTACCTCCTTTTGCCAGTAGCAAAATATGATAATTGGCTATGTTCTCTCTTTTTCACAGATGTCCAGTACAATTTATGTAGCTTGTCCAACGTCATATTTGTGTAGTTACATGACGCACCTGAAATATGTTCTGCTTGGAACCTCAAATGGGCTGGGCAATTGCCACTGACATTGTGGCTCACAGATATCGGGAATTGGTAGCATCGCCAACTGCCCCTTGGCAATGTTTAAGGCCTCGTCTGTTTTTTTTGGAAGCTCTGGTTACAGCTTTTGGAATAAGCTGGTTCACAGTCGCTGTGATTCTTCTGTTTAAAAAAAAATGTGCCGCCGCATTCAGCCACTCGCCGCGGATGAGCGGTAAAACCACAAAGGCCAGGCGTTCTAATTGGCCAATTAAAACGCAAAAATGAAATAAAGTTTTGTTTTTGCAATCGTGCTTTCAAGCTTGCATTGCTGAACCGTTCGTTGTGCGAAAAAAATACATTTGTACGTGTTTATATATATATATTAATTATATATGTAAAAAATGCAGCATTTATAGACTTAAGTGGATTAAAATACACCCGCTCCTATTTTTTTGTCTAAATAACAAAGTATGTGTAGATGGAGCAGAGCATGTTACCGAGCAATGACAACTTCCACTGAGAGCCAAACGGGGTCAACTCTGCTTCGTGGCTCACAAGGAGCCTGACAATCAAGACCACAAGCTGAATACGTCCACTAATCAAGCGAGTGTGTGTGGCTGTTTTGTGTTATATCAAGCTGCACGCCGGCTGCTTCTGATGTTAACACTTCAGAATAGCCCAAGTGCAGGGCAGTATGACCAAAGGCCCTTCGGTGTTTTTGAGTGGAAGCGGTTTCTGTTAAGTCTTCTCTCCATAAAGCCACGATCGGGTCCCGTCTGTCTGGCAGCCTCGAGAAATTAAGTTGAGCCGTTTTCGCCTCCAGACAACAGCGAAGTAATAACATGAATGTTGTTGGAACAAGTAAATCCAGCAGTGTGGCAACGACCGTTCGCGTCTCAAAAACAGATTGCCGTGACAGAAAAGGCTTGGAATGCAGACTAAAGGGAAGTACAAGAAAGTATTTGCTAAAAGTGCCATACCTATTACTTTTAAAGTCACCAAATTCTTCCCTTTGGAGTTCTTTACATTCTAAAGGTTTTGATCGGTGGTACTTTAAAGGGACATTTATTTTGAAAAAATTTGCTAAAGCTGCAAGGTTTATAGTGGAAGTGCTGTCCAGGCACTGTGTATATATAAATAGCAATACCGAAATAATGTTCGCATAAGATGTTTATGCTCATCCGTTACGAACTATGTATTTTTCGATTTAAAGCTTTCGTGACTGCAGGGATTCATATTATTGGTTCGTTCGATAAAGTCACGTAGAAGGGAAACAATAAAATAATAAAAATATAACAATACAATTCTCACGACGTTTCGATTGAAACACAAGCAATCATCATCACACTTGAAGCAATCATCATCACACTTGATGATGATTGCTTGTGTTGCAATCAAAACGCCGTGAAAATGTTATTGTTGAATTTTTATTATTGTATTATTTCCCTTCTACGTGACTTTACCGAAAGAACCAAGAATAACTTTGCATTGTTTTTTTAACCTTTAAAAACAGCTTGCCTTCAGTGGCCTTCCCCCTTTTTCCTCCTGATGACGATCGCTTGTGTTTTGATCTAAACGTCGTAGTTTTTATTTTATTTAATTTTTCCTATCTCCGTGACTTTACAGAAAGAACCAAAGAATACGAATTCCTGCAGTCACGAAAGTTTTAAGTCAAAATTTTACTTTGTATTGTTTTGTTGGATTTAGCATGGATGTGTAGTCGTCGCGTTGTGATCGAAACGTCGTAGTTTTAATTTATTTTATTTACTTTTATTTTTCAATCTACGTGAATTTACCGAAAGAACCAAAGAATATGAATACAATGTGTTTCTGCGGAGGATGCAGATCATGGTAAATGCCTGTTTTTACAGAAACGGGGTAATCATGGCTACGTAAGATGACCTGATCCGCTCAGAACATTGTCGTTGGGAAGATCTAGTGATTTTTTTTTCAAAATAATTCGTGAGAAGCTTTCCCGCCCGCAATTGTGCCTTTGGACAAAGGTATAATTCTGTGCATACAAGAGAAAAGTGGAAGTCAGTGACGGTTAGAGGATCCCGCCTGTTTTTTTCGAGTGCCTAATATGTTTGTGCATTCCTGTAAAGCACTATTTCATTTACGTGTAACATAAGTATAAGGTAGTGTTCAAAGTATGGTCCGAAAATGCTGGCACTGAGAACAAGAAATGCTCTCAAAACACAGAAACAGAACGAATATAAACCACTAGCTTGTTTGCACCATCCTCGGACGGAAGCTGTAATACTTATTTTAAAAAAATTAGCAGAGTATCTTGTGTAAATATATTGGCAGTGAAACTTGCACGAAAGTATGTCATCAAACACTTCACTGCAGTTCACTGTAGCACTGTATGTAACTGACCTTCAAATTGTTCAAATTCACTGCTCTAATTCTTTATTCTCTTCTGATTTCGGTCGCTGGCGTTGAAATAAACTGGAATTTGATCAAATATCTGGAAAATCACCGAGAAATGTCCATTTTACCATAACGTAGAAGCATAAATGAGACTTACCTTTCGTCTCAAGTGCTGAAGAAATAAATAATGACACCAAATCCACTTTGTTGCTGCGTAGAATTATTTATTAGATTCACTTTCAATAAAGAAACGTCAAACTTAAAGCGAATTTGCGTAAAATAATTATTTCTGCCGACCTCCTTCTGCGCGAGTGTAAAAATCCACCCGCTCATGAATATTAATAACGGGGGTGCGGTATGTGGAGTGACGTCACACGCGTTACACACAAACATAATTCTTGGCTCATTATAGTAGTTAATAGATGGTGAAAATGTTTGCTTTGTTCCTCTGCCCCCCCCCCCCCCCCCCCCCCACCGTTGTAATCAATATAATTTGAAATTATAATTTTGTCTCATTTTCTGCCTGTCCCCCCCCCCACTCTCTCTCCCAACACCCCCGTGTGTTTCTCTCTCAGGACTGGTGAAGCTGGGTGTTCACTGTGTGACGGGAAGAAAAGTGGCAATCAAGATCGTGAACCGCGAGAAGCTCAGCGAGTCCGTGCTAATGAAGGTAGGCGCCCCGCGGAGCGCCCACGCCACAGTCGTGCCGGCGTGCGTCATCGCACAGAGCCGTTGCGTGCCACAGCCCCGCATTCACGATGACATCTTTATAGACGTCTTCTTGGTTCTTTCGGTAAAGTCGCGTAGAAGGGAAATAATAAAATAAAATAAATAAAACATAATGAAATAATTCTCATGACGTTTCGGCCACAACGCAAGAATTATTTTATTATGTTTATTTTATTTTATTATTTCCCTTCTACGTGACTTTACCGAAAGAACCAAGAAGATGAATCCCTGCAGTCACGAAAGCTTTAAATCGAAAAATCTTTATAGAAAGTTAAGCTTTTGCCTCTCACGCCTTCTCCAACGCAGAGAGAGAGAGAGGGAGAAAATTGCCAACTGCCATTCCGGTTTATTCCATCCCCCTGCTGTTTGCATTAAAAACGTGGGGCTTGCTTTTAAACACCCTAATGCGTCCAATAGACTCGCTTTTGTGCTGGGGATTCTGGGCGATGTTATTCGCGCGCGCATTTTGGGCACCGCACAGGAATGCGCCACGCTCTGCTGCACCCTCGAGTGTGCCATGGGGCTCTTACGGCGGTCCAAAAGTGGTGGTGGGTGGTGGCGCCAGGGACGGAGGGGGGTATGGAGCCAATTACACACAAGTTGGAAAGTGGCCAAGATTTTCGGAAAGAGCTCGGGTGGGAGTGAAGGCATGGGGGGAGGGGGCATCTGAGAAAGGTGGCACGAAGGGCGTATGACCTGGAATGCGGGGGGGGGGGGGGTGTACTTCAGACAGGGTCATGTTTGGTGGTGCCTTTTGTTACTCCTGTACATTAAAAACTCTGCGGAGATATTTTCCTTTGGGGGTGACAGTAGAATTGTCTAAAAGATAAATTGTGTCATTTGTTTTTATCCGTAAATTTGAGAATAATTAAATGGTGGTTTTACCTAAAGGCAATTCTTCAACTCTGCACACCGAAACCCCTTTAGCCCCCTATGGTTTTCATTTTAAGTAAGGCAGGCGGTAGTATAAGATGCTAGTCCATTCGTGTTTCGATTTTTGTCGCGAATGTGCACGCGGTTCCCTGCACGAGCAAACTCTTGGCGAACATAAAACACTCATTTAAAAGCGGAATCGCAGTGCTCCACAATAGTCTATCGTGCCAGCCACGTACAGTATTACAGCCTGAGCTTGCGTCACCGTCTGATTATGGTGAGACATAAAAATCCCATTAGGCGCGTAGCCATGCTGGTCTTGCCCGTTGTGAATGTCACCCTAATTTATTGTGCTGCGATCGTGAAATACTTAACAGCACATTAAAGGGAAAATATACTAATGTTGCTTGCAAATGCGGCTTCTGCTCTGGACTCGTCAAAGTTTTTTCCTCCGCATGTTGAGCTTGTTTGGAAACAAGTGGTATAAAAACAGAGCCATCCATTGATCCGTTTACCCCACTAAAATCATTTCAGAAACTTATCGAGAAAACAACATTATATTTAAAAGCCTCTACTTGTCTCCCACCAATCCCAATACGGTTCTTAAATATTTTAACAATATCCTGATACACTTTGTCACAATACAGCTAATGGGATCGGCTGACAACATTCAATTATGTGTAAGCTGAGCTCAATAGAAATAAGGGAGGGTCAATAGTCGTTGGTAGGCTATCTATAAATGGGATAATCTCATATCTACACAAAAAAGCGTATTCAACAGCAAAAACATAACAGCAATCCCGGTATGCTCGGCATGCTCAGATGACATCGGAATTCCTGTGCACATGCAGGCCACAGCTCAAAAGAGCCAAGAGTCGCAATAAAGATCAAACAAGTGTACAGTTGCCCTGTCCCTCTGCTGCCTGAATTTTAAAAAGCCACAATCTCAGCTTGTTTGAGCTGGTAGTCACTGCAAGGCTGCGTGCAGAATTTTTGTGAGACCGGAATTGTCACTTTGGCATGCACACAGCGTGTGGGGATTCCTTTTCAAATCCTTTATATTAAGTTCACTTGCTTGCTTGCGCGCTTACGAGCGTGCAAATCTTTCGGTCGTTTTTTAACCCACTTCCCGTGATCCAATCGAGCTGACATTTTGCACACAGACTCGTTGTGCGTGACAATTTATTTTCGTGAATTTTTTTTCCAAAATTTTCTACATTTTAGGAATTTTATTTTTATATTTAATTACCAATTGCTTAATGGTGGCAGGCAATCATCTGACCCATAGGTGGCATCCATCTCAAGCCAGAGGACGAGAGGACTCTAGCCGCCACGCATATAAAGGATTTATAGTGAAAAACTTTGTTTTTACGGGTTAATTTTTTGATGGTTTTTTTTCGTGGAAGACCTACAATCGAATTTGGATTTACATAGCTTCCAAATGCAACCACATATTGGACAGAAACAGTGGGCATATTGATAGAATATAGAGAGAGGGAGAGTCCATCATAGGCAGTGAAGAAAAAAGGTCCCGAGTCTGGACTGGGTAAGTAAGTTAGTGGCACAGATGGCTTTGGTAAAAGTAGTGCCAGGCTATGATGGGGGGTGGGGGGGGGGGCAGCAGCAATGAACGAGCAACCTTTCACTGAGCGAAGGTTGACTGCCGGCTTGGATATAAAGTCTTTGTTGATGGATCTGAGGGAGTGCGCGGAGGAGAAAATAGGTCGAGTGAGATGACAAGAGCAGCCTGGCCCGAGTCCATGGATGATCTTTGGGGGTACGATGTTGAAACATCGTTTACGTATGCATGAACACAACGGACGTGTACCCTCTGACCATGGGAAGTGCGGGACATACACCTAGCGCACCGCTCAAATTGAGCGGAATGAAGATGCTGTAATAAGGCCCATTAACTGGCATGCATATTTAAGACAATCAGCGAAAGTTAAAAGCGGAGGCTGGGGGTGTCATTATAAAGCTGGTGCACCGCTGCGTATTATCATCCCAATTCGTCCTGCTGAGATCTCATTTTGAGCTTCCCGCCCGAGCAGGTATTTGTAATGCATACTGGGAGGCACGCACAAATGAATTTTAATGCTCCCTCTCATGACGTGTTTACAGCCTGGATTTACAGTTAATTGCATCTTTTCCCTTTGTATGTTTCTGTCGCCCGTTCTGTACGACATGAATCCTAATGAGCCAACTACCACTTCAGATGTGCTGTGGACACTCATTACTACAACACCCGATTATTAAATGTCCTGGGGCGGTCCGAGCACTCTAAAATGCACCTTTAAACGACCTCGTATGGCAAAACACAGTGCAATTGCGAGTGTGCTTTTCACTGTTAAGGGCACTTAAAGAAACACATTTTCCGAAATGTGCAGGCCTTTTGTGCGTCCACTATGGCATGCGGACTGTGGAACTCTCTGCCGAAGGCTGTCGGGGAGTCCGGTTTTGGTTGGGACCTTCAAGCGAAGCCTAATAAATATTCTTTTTTCAGAAAGCATTTCCTATTTTAACTCGGCCACTTCTTTAGCCCCCCCCCCCCCCGACCCCATCCGATTCAAGAATTGAGGCTCGCGGTTTCTGCGGCCGTGATGAAAATGTTCTTTCAAAACTTTACTCGGGAACGACTGCGCGCGTGCGACTTCAACGGCGTTTGTTGCGTGAATCCGCCCTCCTTCCCACCCGGTCCCCTGACAGAGTCCCAATCTGTGAGCGTTATTACATCGAGAGCCGCCACGGGCAGTGGGTGGCTGGGACATTGGGGACAACAGCCCCCGGCTCCCCCCACCCCTGTTTTTTTATTGATATTTACCAAAGAAAATGTATTAAATGTGTGTGTGTGTATATACACAGGCAGTCCCTGATTTACGAATGCCCGATTTACGAACATCCACACTTGTGAACGAGCTCCCGTAAAGTATTTATTTTCTAACCATCTGACTTGCGGACATGAGCTCGCATTTACGAACTGAAACGCGGAAACTATTTACAGTTTGACATGCAAATTTACAATGTCTTCTGATTTATGACTTTAACAACCGTAACACATTTTATAATTCTGACCGTATGTATATTTAAATGCAGTTCAATATTGTGCTCCGACTTACGACCAATTCGACTTACGAACGGGTCTCGGGAACGGTATGCGTTCGTTAGTCGAGGACTGTCCCATATATAAATGTGGGTTCCTATTTGAAAAGCTTGAGATGCATGACCCACCCATCCCGTTGGAAGGTTTCTAGCTCTGCCTGCGCTCAATCGTAAACATATACCGTGATATCACATGCCAACGCCTAATTCGTTGCTTGAACTTTGGAAGGAGGACAACTCGAGCAACAGCCGGTGATGAAGTCTCGTGCAGCCATAGCCAAATTAAGTTAAATATTTTTTTTAAAATTACTATTCAAGAACGGATTGTTAACATTTAACATTGTCGTGAATATATCAGCCTCTAGTGGTTGGAGGGGCTCACGTGAACACATTACATTTAGCATATTCCCGACAGATTAAATGCCTATATCTGTAAAAAACAGAATGTAAACTATAATAAGCGATGTGTCTGAATTGGCACACCGATTGTTACTTTGTCGGAAATGTAAACACGTTAACTGGGTCCTATATTTTGTTATGAGCGATGTACAATCTCAAACTGGGCTTGCATTTGGAACATTTCTAAGCACGACTTGCCCAATTGTAAAACAGAAAGATACACGTAATTGTATTCTTCTTCTTCTTACCTCCAGTAAATCAATTTTAGTTTAAAGTCAATCGTGATGCTTTCCGATGGCCTATCACTTTAACGGCAACCACTCATTCATCTTAATTAAAGGGGTGTTAGCAACAGCTCCTTTGCAAGTTAGCAGGGTTAAAGGGTTTCCCTCTGATTGCATTTTCCTGGTGGATTTATTTGGAATGATTTTTCGGCTCCGTGCGTTTAGAGTGATGACCATATTTAGTACACGGGCGATGGGTTACATTTTACTCGCGATGAGCTAATTGGGTTTTTTCGCAAATAAGAGCCCAGGGCATTGAGTGGTGTTCTGCGACAGTGAGCTGAAT